ATTAGCATCAACTCCATGATTGCAGAAGGCTGATCAATTGCTTTTTTATATCATCTTATACTATATGATACTCATCAAGAAACTCAGTAAACCCTCACAGCCAGTCCGATACAGCTTTTACCTAATTGGTCAATCCATCCAAACACCATCCACTGTCCAATTAACAAATCGCCCTTTGGTAAACAAATCTCCTTGAAACATTCCACATGCACACAACAGCAGGTGCAACAAGTGGAGATAAGAATTGTTTCTAATTCCTTTCTCTGATCTTCTCACAGCCTTCCCTGGGAAAGTCTGTGCCTGCTCTCTGTGGCCAGAGAGCTGCTGCCACACACAGAGAGCTGCTGTTAGAAAAAATCTTTTCATTGAAAGGTTTGTCCAGCCCTGATGCAGCTGCCCAGGGAAGTGGTGGAGTCCCCATCTCTGGGGAGATTTAAAAGCTGTGTAGATGTGGCACCTGGGGACATGGGATAGTGCTGGATTAATTGTTCAGACTGAAAGATCTTAGAGACCTTTAAGCCATTGGGAAATGGTAACTCAGGGCAGGGACTGTCAGTACGGGGATGCTGTGGCAATTCCCACACTTTGTAGCTCTTTTGTATTTGGAGCTGAGCAGGGCATTACCTGCCTGAGGGCAGGGACCTGTGACTGTCCCCACCTGAGCTGGGCACACTGAGAGCTTTGTGCTACCAGTGACCCAGACTGGGTGCTGAGGGGATGCTGGTGCCCCACTGTTGGTGCCAGTGAGTCATGGCTGCACGTGTATGCCCAGTTCCCAGCCTGGAGGACACGCAGGAACCCACAGGCCCAGCAATCCTTTGGCACTGGCACCCCCTTCCCTCCCTGCCAGCATGGAGCTGCCTTTCTGAGCCATGCCCAATGTCTCCCACAGAACTGCCTCCTACTACTGGGGCTCGCAGCAGCAGCTCTACCGGAACCTGCTGAAGCTCTATGGGATCCGCTTCGACCTCTCTGTGCACGGCCAGGTACTGTGAGCTCCTCAGCCCCAGGGCTGACTCCTCACACCACTGCTCCCACTCTAACCCCGTGGTTTCTGCTACCATCATTTCTCCCCACCTGGGTGAGTTCTTCACCTCTTTCCAGACTAAGCAGAGCAGGAAAAAACAATCTCTCCCATCTGAAGAAAAACCTTTTGGTATTGCCCTGAGGAGGGAGATTTCCCTCTCTAAGAGTCTGACATGGGGGCCATGAAGTGTTCACTAGGCAAAGTGAGCTGGTCTGGGCTTGTAGATGTCTCTCTCTGAGGGTGTTATGGTGGGAGCACCCGGACAAAGATCAACCTGAACTCTACTTGACCTGGACAATTAATCCGTTCTTGATTACAAGTACCCTCAGGGGGGAAAGGTGTGGTGTGATTAAGGCTGGACATGCCCCAGCCATGTGCATTGAGAGCCCAGAAACACCCTGTGTCTTGTATTCATCCTCAGCACTGTGGGCAGGAGGTAAAGTGAGATTCTGCTTCTCTGCCCTGCTCAGGTGCAGTGCTGCACCTGCTCTCATGTCCCCAACAACAGAAGGATTTGGAGCTGCTGGACTGAGCCCAGAGGAGGCCATGGAGATGCTCCAAGGACTGGAGCCCCTCTGCTCTGGATCCAGACTGGGAGAGCTGGGGGTCCTCACCTGGAGAACAGAAGGCTCCAGGGAGAGCTCAAAGCCCCTTGTAGGGCCTAAAGGGGCTCCAGGAGAGCTGGAGAGGGACTGGGGACAAGGGATGGAGGGACAGGACACAGGGGAATGGCTTCTCAGAGATGGGATATTAGGAAGAAATCCTTCCCTGTGAGGGTGGTGATGCCCAGGCACATGTTGCCCACAGAAGCTTTGACTGCTCCATCCCTGGCAGTGCCCAAGGCCAGGTAGGATGGGGCTTGGAGCAGCCTGGGATAGTGGGAGGTGTCCCTGCCCATGGTAGAGGGTGGAATGAGATAAGCTTTCAGGTCTCTTCCAACCCAAACTATTCCATGTTTCTATGATTGTTGGTGCTACTCTGTGCAGCATCACTCACAAATTCAGTGCTTAGCTTTCCAAAGAGGGAGCCTGTGCTGAGAGCACTTCCCACACTAAGAGATGTCCACAGCTGGTCTTTCATGCTTAGCAGTGCCTTTTGTACCTGAAGAAAGTGAAGCACACAGTGCAGGACAGGGAAACAACCTGCTCTAGGCTGAGAGAGCAGGTCCAGGAGCTGTGGAGAGAACAGCCAGAAACAAAACTACCAGACTCATTTGTGAAGGGATGGACACATCATGTCAGGGTTGTATTTGCTGGGATGTGGTTCCATGGGTTCCAGCTGCAGCAAGAGGGAGGTTCCTGCTGTGCCTGCAGGAGCAGGTGGGTCACAGTAACCTCTGCTGCTTCCAGGTCATCAGGCACCTCAGTCCCTTCTTTGACAACCAGAGGGGGTTGGAGTCAACACAACAGTAGTTCCTACAAATCAGCCTGGGAAAATATATGTCTGGGTCCTTCCAGCACCTCCTGACTTTGAGCATGCTGCCCTGCAAGGCTCAGCCTACGGCCTTCTCACCCCTCTGACTGCTCTTCACCCTCTCTCTTACCCCTCCATTGTTTCTCACCAGGCTGGGAAGTTCAGCATTGTTCCTACTGCCGTGAGCTTTGGCACCAGCATCGCCTTCTTTGGTGCCGTGAGTACTCCAGATATGTTCTCCTCCTTCAATCCGTGGCTTGGGATTTGCCACTTCTTATTTGTTTCCCTGCCTGCCTGGGCACAAGGCTTTTTTAGTGGCAGCCAGCACAGAGGGGAGATGGTCTGGCACTGTGTCAGCTGAGGTCTCCCTCTGACCATTAGTAATGGCACCACTGGATTGGGATCCTGAGTGCTGTCTGGGTCACATCTCATGGAGGTCAGGTTTTTGTGTGGATCCTGGTACAGAGCATCACTGGGATGCTGCTGGCAGGAGAGAGCAGCTCCTCTCCGCTTCTCCTCTGATTCTGAAGGGATGCAGTGTCCTGTCACTGTGGTGGAGCAGCCCCTTGTAGAGCCCTTTCAGCCCTTCCCTTCCAGCAGAGTAACAGGGAGGTGCCCCACCTGCCCCCTTTCCTCCCTGCCATGCTCATCCCAGTCCATACGTCACTGTGAAGGTGCTGGAACAGTCCTCCCTGTCCATCCATTGCAGCCTGAGGATCCTGTCTGACCTCCTGTGCAGCTCCTGGGACCGGGTTGGGTCAAGAGGAGCCAGTGGAGCTGGCTGGAGGCAGGACTGGCTTGCTGCCCCAGTAAATGCTCACAGCTGGCTGCAGGGCTCAGTGCGAGCCAGGATGGAAGGCCAGGCATTCCTGTGGGAAGTTTCCATCTTCAGTGTTTGTCTGTCTCCAGGCTACAGTGGTCTGCGACTTGGTTCTGCTCTACCTGGATGCAAAGGCTGACCTTTACTGGAAGGAGAAGTTTGAGGAGGTAAGGATAGGGCCACATGGGAGAGAGGAGGTTTTGAAATGAAATCATTTTGGATTTAATGATTTTCTATCCTTTGGTTAAAACTCAGTTCCCAAGATCAGAGAAAAAATCTGGTGGAGCAGCTCTTTAAGTTTTCAACTTGTGGGCTTGGTTGCCAGTCTGAACTGGGAGAGGGATTCAGCTGGTGCTGGGAGTCAGGGAAAGTTGCACCATGACCTCAGCTACTGTCAAAACATCCATCAGTGGGCTGCCATGGAGACCTTACCTGGAAAACTGACCCAGCTCTATGCTTTTCACCTTCTTCCAAAGGGAAGCATAGCATCTGCTGGGACTCCATGCAGAAAGGGACCAGCTCTTCAGGGCACATCTAGTTCTGTGGTTCATTGACAGATTGCCAAGCATGATTCCATTGTGGGAATTCACTGCCCTGGTAAATCAGGGAGTCACAGGGAGGCCCCTACAGACCATGAGATCTGGCAGCCCTACCTCAGGTCATTTCCAGCTTTGTCTGGCCAAGTCTGAGGACTGAGATCCCCCATCTCCTGGTGAACTGTCCCAGAGCTGCACCATCCTATGGTGGGGGGAAACTTTTCTAATGCCTGATCTTGAATCCAGAGTGGGGTGGGGGTCCTGGACAGTGAATCTGGTTACATGGAACCAAGCAGAGTAGCTGAGGGCCATCTGAGCTGCCTCCATGCCTGTTGTATACTTATGCCCCTGTTCATTTTGCAGGCAAAACCCCCTAAAGGTAAGCCTGAGGCCACAGCTTAGGGACATTGGGAATGCTCCACCACAAACACCCTTCCCTCCAGAGCTACCTGCAGGTAGATATGATGGGGACACAACTGGAGCCCTGGTGGAGGTGGGCCAGTCCTGGCCCAGATGGGCACTGCTGGGGTTAGGCTCTGCCTTTCCTGGAGAAGCACTGGCAGCAGCAGCAGTTCTTGGCTCCTGGAGCACAATGCCATCCTAGGGGCAGCTCCCAGCACTGACAGCCTGTGTTGGAGCAGAGCTGCCCCAGAGTGTGCTGGGGAGCAGTGGTACTGCTTGGCACAAGAGGCTTAAAGCATTTTGCATTTCTCCATGTTCCAGTAATCACGGGCTTTGATTTCCCTTGAAAAACAGGGATGCAATGGAATAAAGCTGTTCTGGAAGTGGGAGGAGGTTTTGCTCTGTCTCTAGCCATGGAGGAACTATAAGGTTGTGGAGTGCTGCTCTTGCACCTCGTGGCACCCTGCATGCTTCCAGCTGGGATGGCTTCGTGTGAACCACCTGGATTCTCAGAAGCTCTCTGGGAAACTCAAGGAGGGTTTAGGAGCCAAGTTTAAAGTTCCAGCCCTGGGCTGGTACTTCCTAGGGGTATGCAGTGGCTCCTGCACCCTGATTCCTGCCTCCTGCCAGGGCTGATGCTGAGCAAGGACAGGCACAGCTGTGGGGTGAGCTGGAATGTTTTAGAGGTGCTAACTGCTCACTTCCACTTTTCCTAGGCTGTGTTAGCTGGTGCAAGGCTGGGATCAGCTGGGCTGTGCCTGGGTGCTGTTCTGGAGTCTCCACAAAGCTCAGAAACAATGTCTGTGGGTTCAAGCACTGTTTAATGCTCCTTGCCAGGATCAGCTGTGTGGGGTGGAGGGGTCATGCAGCATCATCCCATCTTGGCTGCCTGTCCCCCTGTGCCCTCTGGCTCCAGCTGGCCCCTCGCACCCTCCTGGAACTGCCGCAGGTAGAACTGTGCCGCCAGATGCTTGGTCATGGTCCTCAGTGCCAGGAAGGCAGCCACGATCTCGGGGAGGAGGAAGGTCAGGAACAAGCTGTGCATGGGCACCTCCAGCGGTAGGTGGATGACCTGCCTGTCCATCAGCAGGAAGAGCAGGAGGGGCAGCTGGATCAGGAAGGAGAGGAGCAGGAACCCAGCCAGCTCAGGCACCTGCAAGACCAGAGGCTGCTGAGACAGGGCAAGAAGGCAGTGGTGGGCTGGGGGGACCCTCTGTGCTCCTGGAGCTTCCTGCATCAGCCTCTGCTGGCCTTGGTGCCCAGGGACTAGGGATGTCCCTGCTCCATTGAGTTGTGGTGAGATGCTGTCAAACCCCCCCAGTGGAGAGACACAGCAGGAGGGCAAATGGGTCCCTTTCATTCCTCTCTCCAGGTCATGCCTTCACCCATGATTCTCTTCTAGGACAGTTCCAGGTAGACCTCCAGAGAAAGGACAGTGATGGGCACATGGCTCATAAGTGAGGAGAAATCCAGCTCCCCCAGCTGGGCTGATCCTCTCTGAGCACAGAGGCCAGGGCAGGCAGTGCTTACCTTCTCCTGGAGGTTCCCCAGGTAGCCCAAGTAGAGGCGGGAGCCCTCAGCCAGCGAGAGGATAAGGAAGGCTGTGACCAGCAGGAACTGATAGTGCCAAGGCAGCAGGTGGTACTGTTATGGGAGCACAGCCTTGTTCAATTCTAGCTGTCCATGCCCAGTTTCCCTTTCTTCTATGCACCATTCCCTGCTCTCCATGCCTTGTGCCCTCCTCCCCATACCCAGCTTTCCATGCTCTGCCAGATCTCACCATGCTGGTGCACAGCTCTGCCTACTCTTCCCCCCTATTTTAACCATTCTTGCCTGGAAAGTTAATGATTTCCATCTCTAGCAGACAGAAATGAGCAATCTTTTCTCATGGGGGTCAGGGCATTTTGGGACTCCAGTAATTCTGAAAAGGTTCCTCTGTCCGCTGCCCATTTTGTCCCCCACCCAAGCCCAGGGAGACTTGGCAGGAGCAGCTCCTCCCATCCCCACGTGCCCCATGGGATGGTACCTTCAGGTGCAGCATAATTCCCTCAGCCAGGCACCAGACTGGGAAGTAGTAGACGTTGAAGTAGAGCATCACCTGGAGGGGCAGGCTGGACAGCACCTTTTGAGCTAGGCAGGACAGGCAGGGATGGGCAGGCTGCTCACCAGCCCCGGGGTCCCCTGCCCAGAGGGACCCCCCCTCACAGCTTGTGGAGGTGAGCAACAGACCCTGGGTCCCACAAGCAGCTGATTGCAGCAAATGTTCTTGATTTTGCTCCCCTCCCTGTTGGGTGGTTTCGGGGACTCTTTGGGTGCTTTGGTGATGTGCTGAGTAGGGTCATGGGGATGGACACCCCCTGTTCCCAAGCCCCCCTGTGCAGGGTCATGGGGATGGACACCCCCTGTTCCCAAGCCCCCCTGTGCAGAGCCCTCTGCGCATACCTGGCTGGTAGCCGTGGGCAGTGCTGCTGTCCCACGTCTTGTTGTTGATGAAGAGGGAGCCACTGAAGGCCACCAAGCCTCGGCGCAGGCTGGGGGGCAGTGGGGTGGGTACAGCCATGGACAGCAATCCTGCTCACACCAGCCCGGCTCAGCCCAGATTAGCCAGGAGGGAATCAGTGAGGTGGCAGGCCAGGCTAATGCGCAGGGCCATATGGCCATTGGCTCCCTGGGGACAGGGTTGCTGACCTGGAACGGGGATCTGAGGAAGGAGAATTCCCACCTTGGAACACCAAGCCCATGCAGGAATCACATGGTGGAGTTGCAAGGAAGTCACAAGTCACAGAGCATCTCCTGTCAACAGCATCTTTAGGGGGTGACAGCAGCTTGTACCCGTCACTGTGACTTGAAGCAACTGCACCCTCTCTCAGCCAGGCTCTATCAATACAAATATTGCTCAAAGACCCCTGACAGATGAGGATGCCTCATGAGAGGATGGTACTCTTCACCTGAAATGCTTCTTCAAGGCCTCCAGGTTCATGGAGCATTTACCCATCACTGTGAGTTCCTCAAGCCCCACCCAGGCTCAGGGGTGCTGGGGAGGGCAGTGGGGGATGATGTGTTAGCGGGTGGCTGAGCCAGAGATGACTGGGAGTAAAAGGTTCTTCAGGAACTTCAAGTTGAAAATCACATAATTATTAAGGTGGGAAAACCCCTCAAAGATCATCAGGTCAAATCATTAACACAGCACTGCCAAAGCCACCCCTAAACCATGTTACATCTACACATTTTTTGAACACTTCCAGGGATGAGGGCTCCATCACTGCCCTGGGAAGCCTGTATAAGAGCTGGACAAACCTTTCCATGAAGAAATACTCCCTAATATCCAACCTGAGCCTCCCCTGGCCCAGCCTGAGCTGTTCCCTCTCCACCTGTCCCCATTCCCTGGGAGCAGAGCCCAACTCCCCGGCTGTCCCCTCCTGTCAGGAGCTGTGCAGAGCCACAAGGTCCCCCCTGAGCCTCCTTTTCTCCAGGCTGAGCCCCTTCCCAGCTCCTTCAGCCTCTCCTGGGGCTCCAGCCCCTTCACCAGCACTGTTGCCTTCTCTGGACACACTCTGTCAGTTCTACCCAGCAGATCTGGGTGTACCCAACAGACCTCATGATCTTCAGCTCACCCCATAAGGTGCATCAGAGAAGCTGCAAATAGTGAAAGCAAGTGCTGTAAGTGAGGTCCTTAAGGGCCAGAAACTGTCAAGGAACACAAAAAACCAAAGAAAGAGATTATTCTTTTCCTGAATAAAGCTAAAATGAAATTGCAGAGCTCACTGCCATATGCTGTCAAAACCAAACCATCTGGGGCTGAAAGCATGGTTAAACCAGCACCTGATTGGCTGAAGTTACAGGACCACAGAATGGTTTGGGTTGGAAGAGACCTGAAAGCTCATCTCATCCCACCCCCTGCCATGGGCACAGACATCTTCCACTATCCCAGGGTGCTCCAAGCCTCATCCATCCTGGCCTTGGACATGTTCAGGGAGCCAGGAGCAGCCATAGCTGCTCTGGGTACCCTGTGCCAGGGCCTGCCCACCCTCACAGAGAAGAATTTCTACACTACATCCCATCTTCTTCTCAACATCCCAACCTGCCTTGTCCTGTCCCTCCATCCCTTGTCCCCAGTCCCTCTCCAGCTCTCCTGGAGCCCCTTTAGGCCCTGCAAGGGGCTCTGAGCTCTCCCTGGAGCCTTCTCCTCTCCAGGTGAGTACTGCCAGCTCTTCCAGGCTGGCTCCAGTCTTCAGAGGATCTCTGTGGCCTCCTCTGGACTCATTCCAGCAGCTCCAGGTCCCTCCTGTGCTGAAACCCTAGAGCTGGATGCAGTTTTCCAGATGGGGTCTTACCTGCATGGGGCAGATGCTAAGCCCCATCTGTCCCCCAAGTCCTGCCAGCACACAGGTGAGACATGGGCAGGGTGACAGGCATGGCCCAGAATCTGAGGAGCAGAAGCTCGTGGAGAGCTCAGGATCTGGAGGCACCAAATCTGCATGGGCAGGCAAGGTGAGCAACCAAGATGATACCTGGGCAGTCTGGTGGAGGTAACTGACATGGGGCAGAGCAGCTGGGGGTCACTTCACGTGCCCCAGCTGGGCTCTCATTCCACATGGGAACAGGCAGTTTCTTAAGAAGAGATGGAAACTTTCTGTCCTGGCGTGAGAGGTTGCAAGATGTGCCTGAAAGGTGGCAGAGAACACAGCCCAGCCTTGCCCAGTTCCAGGACAGACTCGCCACTGGGAAGCATTTGCCAAGGCACTAGATAAGGGGTCTCAGGTTCACCACCACCCCACACCTGTGCAGAGAAGCAATACCATCTGAGCCAGCTCTACCTGTGACCTGACATGTACCAAGGAAAGCTACAGTAGTGACTGGGATTTCTCATGTCACGGGTGATATTACCAGCCCTGGTTGAAATAACTCCTCTGTAAAAAGCAGGAAATGGGACTTGTTATCCCCACTGCAGCTGCAGACTGGGATTGAAGGGCCTTCCTCAGCCCCTGAATGGTCTTCAGCCCTGTGAACATGGGGGTGATGCCCATTCTATGCAGCTCATGCACAATACTGAATGAGGCCTCATCAGAGGCAAAGGAGGTTAAAAAGCATCTTCCTGAAAAACAAAGCACACTGCCAGTGTGTCCCCATTGTAGCAAAGCTGTGCTGGGAGAGCTGCCAGTCTCACCCAGCATGAAGAATATGACAGAGAGCTTGGGGAAAACACACCTGCAGGGAATGCCACCCTCTGGTGTCCCAGAGTCTCCTGGCACTCCAGCTGGGTCCCCTGGTGAGCTGCCAAAGCTGAGTCCAACTATCCCACCAGCAGGACACGGGATATAAAGCCAGATCTTTGTGAGCAGTGGGCAGAGGTGAGGCAACACCCGGGCAGCTGCCTCCACCTGGGCAGTGCCCATGGCCCTAGGCCACTCTGTAAGAACCCTGCCTGGGGCACCAGGAGCTGAGCAGCCCCAGCCACCCCTGCCCTCAGAGGAGGATCTGTGGACAGGAACACTGATATTTGTCTTTTGGAACCTGAAATGAGACTTGCAAGTTCCCATCGCTTTGTGGATCCAGCAGACACACAATGATCCCTGTTCATCACAGGATGTGTGCTGGAGTGTGCACATCCTGCTACCATCCCTCCTGGTCATTCCGTCTGGGAAAAGCTTTGCAGTGAAACCAGGAGAGACCAACCAAAGATATGATAGACACTGGTGCATTTCTACCCAGCCAAGATCTGAAATACTGGAAATACAGGTGAGCTGGACACAGGTGGGAAGTCTCCAGAGAATAGGTTCTTGAACAATCTGGCCAACATGAAAACCCAAGGTCTTGGAAGAAATCAAACATGACCCAGACCTCAAGAATAGTATTGCTTTAATTTGTAGGGGGTGAATCAAATTAAAAATATAAATCCTCTTGTTTGGGACTCAGGGTAAAACACTGCTGGGGAAAGAGTCACCCCCAGAACAGAGCACTGGAGTCTCTCCAAGGGGGACCCTCAATCCCCACTCTGCTGGGCTGATGGACACTGGGCTGTGGCTGGCCAGGTTCACTCCTGAGCTGGAGATATGGCTCTTCTTCAGCATGGGGCCAGAAACAGGACAGCAGAGCACTAGCGTGGTGGGCTGGGAAATGCAGCTTTGTCACTGCCAGAGAATGGACAGCCAGAAATACCACCCCCCCCAGCTACTTTTCCTCTAATAACACCTCAGCAACAGCACTGATCCCACGAGAGCATTAAGGAGAGATAACCCAAGTCTGACTGGAAGGGTGGCCACCCAGTCCAGGGCTGCAACTGAGCCATCACAGCTCTCAGGTACCCCTGCTATGCACTCCGGGAATGGGCGAAGAGCTGCCAGTGCCCCAGCCCAAACGGGGCCCCAAGAGACAGGGAACGAATCCCAAGCCCTTGGCTGCTCCAGGACAGGAGATGCTGGGAGGGGGACTGATGAGCTCCAGAGCCCTCAGCATGGACAGGGACCCACTTCTGCTGGTGGGGCTGCACAGGACCAGCCTGGACAACAAAAGCACCAGCTGCACAGAAATCACCCAGTGTAATCTGGCCTGCCCAAATGCCCCCTGGGGTGGGTGGGCACAGGGAGAGCTGTGACAAGTGCTGCAGCCATGCAGGAAGGGAGTGGCTGTCAGGCTCCGCAGGGATGTGCATTGCAGCTCTGCTGGGAGCAAAAAGAGTTTGGAAAGGAGCATCATGCATGAAAGCACAGGAGCAACCAAAGGCACTCGTACTGCTTATGGGCTTCTGGGAGGGAGGGGCATGCGTGGGGCAGACCCTCAGCCCGATGGCAGCATCCAGAGCCATATGGAGCCCATGCCCGCTGCCAGTGCCAAACCTCTGTAGGCTGCTTTTCCAGCATTCCACAGCAATTGCAACAGCAGAGCCCCAGCCCAGCCCAGCAGGCACAGGGGCAGAGGAGCTGTGTGAGATCCTCTTGGGAAGGTCAGTGCACAATGCCAGGTTCATAAAGGTCTCAAAAGGAAATGGCTGAACCATGGGGTTCCCACTGGGCCATGGAGCTGCTGTCCTATCTCCCCATGGTGAGTGCAGCATCAGGACAGCTCAGCCATCCGTGGCTTTAGGTGCCTTTCCCTGTTAGCCAGGACATGTCTCCAGTTCTAAAAGAGAAAAAATACACAGTGCTGTAAGGGGTTTCTCAACGTGCAGAGGCAAATGCTCTTGGTGTGCCTTGGTGCTAGTCCAGTACTTGATGGCCATCCCACCAACCAGCTGCCTCCTCTGCCCTCACTTAACCTGTCACTAAACTGTCCAAAAAGTCACCTGCAGGTCCTCAATTCTGTGTAAAACTGAGTTCAGATATTTTATTTATTTATACTTCAAAGCAGCCCTTCAGCTGAAAATCCATGGAAAGCCACCAAACCCCAGCCAAACAAGGTCCCAGCCAACAGGAACTGTGCCTGATATGGCTCCTGGCAGCCCCAGCCCTACCACCCAGCATTGCCCCCCATGTGAGGGAGATGCAAAATAAGGACACATCCCATGAAACCAGTGTCCCCACATGGGAATTAGGGATATGGCCCAGTCAGGGGGTAGCTGTC